GGAGCATGTTTGCTCTTCACCCTTTCCTCCAACTTGCTGGCTGGAGGGGGAAGACATTGTGATAGTGGCAATGCAGCAACACAGAAGGGGCTGGTGTTAGGCCATTCTCGAATTACTATAAAGAAATACTTGAGGCCGGGCGCGGTGGCTCACGCCTGTAATCCCAATACTTTGGGAGGCCGAGGCGGGTGGATCACGAGGTCAAGAGATCGAGACCATCCTGGTCAACATGGTGAAACCCCGTCTCTACTAAAACTAAAAAAAAATTAGCTGGGCATGGTGGCACGTGCCTGTAATCCCAGCTACTCAGGGGGCTGAGGCAGGAGAATTGCCTGAACCCAGGAGGCGGAGGTTGCGGTGAGCCGAGATCGCGCCATTGCACTCCAGCCTGGGTAACAAGAGCGAAACTCCGTCTCAAAAATAAAAAAGAAAATAAAAAAAAAATACTTGAGACTGGGTAATTTATAACTAAAGGAGGTTTAATTGGCCTTTTTAAGAGATAAGAGAGAGAAATATTTCTTTTTTTTTTTTTTTTAGACAGAATTTTGTTCTTGCTGCCCAGGCTGGAGTGCAGCAGCATGATCTCGGCTCACTGCAACCTCTGCCTCCTGGGTTCAAGCAATTGTCCTTCCTCAGTCTCCTGAGTAGCTGGGATTACAGGCATGCACCACCACTCCCAGCTAATTTTGTACTTTTAGTAAAGATGGGGTTTCTCCATGTCAGGCTGTCTTGAACTCCTGACCTCAGGCAATCTGCACACCTCAGCTTCCCAAAGTGCTGGGATTACAGGTGTGAGCCACTGCGCCAGGCCACAAGAAAGCAATAATTTCTTAATATCATTATATGTTCGAATAGCACTTAAGCAGTTACGCAGGCTGTTCAGAAAGCATGGCACTGGCATCTGCTTAGCTTCTGATGAAGCCTCAGGGAGCTTTTAGTCTTGTTGGAAGGAGAGAAGGGGACACAGGCGAGTCATGTGGTGAAAGCTAGAAGAAGTTCCAGAGAGTAGGGGGAGGTGTCACCTATTTTTAAGTGACCAGATCTTGTGTGAACTTACAGCTCACTTATGACCAAGGAGGTGGCCCAAGCCATTCATGAGGGATCTGCCCTGATGATCCAAACACCTCCCACCAGGTGGGACCTCCAACCCTGGGGATTACAATTCAACATGAGATCTGAGTTCAGACTATCTCAGGGCTTACCTACATTTCTGATCGTGAGGAATAAGACCACCTGCATCCACACAGCTTAGGCATCAGGACAGAGACCTAAGACCTTCTAGATCAACATGACTTACTATTTGATTCAGGAGATTCTCATTCAGGAGTATTAGACTGTCAACCAATACATGGCTTCACTGTTTGCCTCAATAAATCCATGAAAAAGCATTTATTGTAACAAAAGATTGCTCATCTTGACAAATATCTCCTTCTCAGGATGACAGTATAACCACCCAAAGGGCTCACCTTATCCGCTTCCTAGACCAGAGCTGATTCATCAGGACAGGAGAATTGCAATAGAGAAGGAGTAATTCACACAGAGCCGGCTGTGCAGGAGACTGGAGTTTTATTATTACTCAAATCAGTCTTCCCAAACATTCAGGGAGCAGAGTGTTTAAGGGCAACCTGGTGGGTGGGGGGAAGCCATTGAGCCGGGAGTGCTGATTGATCAGGAATGAAATCACAGGGAGTTGAAGCTGTCTTCTTGTGTGAGTCAGTTCCTGGGTGGGGGCCACAAGATCAGATGGGCCAGTTTATCCATCTGGGTGGTGTCAGCAGCTCCATCAAGTGCAGGGTCTGAAGCACTGATCTCAGGAGCAGCTGAGGGAGGGTCAGAATCTTGTTGTCTCCAGCTACATGACTCCTAACCCATAATTTCTAATTTTGTGGCTAATGTTAGTCCTACCAAGGCAATCTAGTCCCCAGGCAAGAAGGAGGTCTGTGGGCCAGGCACTGTGGCTCATGCCTATAATCCCAGCACTTTGGGAGGCTGAGTTAGGCAGATCACAAGGTCAGGAGTTCGAGACCAGCCTGATCAACATGGGGAAATCCCGTCTCTACTGAAAACACAAATTAGCCTGGTGTGGTGGCATGCTCCTGTAATGGTAGCTACTCAGGAGGCTGAGGCAGGAGAATCACTTGAACCCAGGAGGCAGAGCTTGCAGTGAGCCGAGATCACGCCGTTGCACTCCAGCCTGGGTGACACAGTGAGACAGCAAGACACCATCTTAAAAAAAAAAAAAAAAAGAATATAATTGTCTTGTAGTGTTTCCCATGGTCTGTACTTTGCCAACTGTTTTTCATGGTCGCATTTAGCATGTTCCTTTATTCTGTATTTCCTGTAAATACAGATCAGGTCAATTTTTATTTATTTATTTATTTTGAGAGGGAGTCTTGCTCTGTCACCCAGGCTGGAGTGCAGTGGCCCCATCTCGGCTCACTGCAACCTCGGCCTCCCAGATTCAAGTGATTCTCCTGTCTCAGCCGCTTGAGTAGCTGGGATTATAGGCATCTGCCACCACACCCAGCTAATTTTTGTATTTTTAGGTTTCTCCATGTTGGCCAGGCTGGTCTCAAACTCCTGACCTCAGGTGATCTGCCCGCCTCAGCCTCCCAAAGTGCTGGGATTACAGGCATGAGCCACTGTGCCAGGCCTTAAAGCATCTTTTGAAGGTGGATGGGATTTCTACAAACAGGCAAAAAGCCAGTCAGACTGAGTATAGTGAATAATATGGGTGACCAAGCTGGAAAATGATGGTTTGAGGTGGAACACAGGGGTGATGAGGCCATGAATGATTTGCTTGTGTGTCTGGTAAACGCTCTGATGGAAATTCCTCAACAGGTCTAAAAACGTTCCATCCAAGGTCAGCATGAAATGTCCAGCCACCCACGGTGACCAATGTCAATGGAACAGTGACATTGACAGTGCAAGTGCATGTTGGTTATAAAACCAGCTTTGCTGTGTGGGTGGACACCCAAAGTGCCCCTTTCTAGTCATGAGCTCCACTTAAGTGGTGCCCACTTAGGATTGAAACTTGGAGCCGGACTGCGCTTTCCTGCTGAAATTCGGGAACTAGTTAGCAGCCCCGCCGAGGCCCCCTCATTTCTGTACACCAGATCCCAGGCTCGTGTCTCAGTTCGAGCCCGCGGCCCGAAACTGGAGCCGTCTGGATGTGTTGACAAGGATGCCGCTGGGCTCCACCCGGGGTCCGCCTCTTCCCCATTACCCGGCGACAATGCGGTCGGAACACTGCGCTCGAAGAGGCTGCCGCTCCTGAAGAGTCAACCAGAAATAAGGAAGAACGGGGGCAGCTGCCAGGGCGAGCAGAGGCGGGCCTCAGAGCAGCAGACGGGCCGGACGGCTGGGGTGGTTTTGACCTCCCGCAGACTTCCTTTTTCCCGCTCAGCGGAACCCCACCCCGGCATGGTCGCAGCACCCCCGGTCTCACGCCGCCTCCACCCGCTACTCGTGAAGCCCCGCCCCGTTCCCGCCCCCAACCATTGACGCAAAACTGGGAGGGGCCACGAGGACCTCTGGCACAACCAATGGAGCTTCCGGGCCGGCGCCTTCTCCAAGCTCCTCCCACGCCCGCGGATCTGGAGCTCGCGCCTGCGCAGTTTGGGCCCAGGTTGTCCTCCCCCTCCCCTTCCTTAGCAACCATCGCCCGCTCCCTCGGCCGCGGCTGCGCACGCGCGCCCCTCCCGGCGCCCGGCCCCGCCCACCCCGTCACCCGTAACAACCACCCGAGCCCCCGCCCCGCCCCCCCCCCCCCCCACCCCCCCCCCGCCAGGCTCCCAGTTCCTGGGAGCCGCTGGGAGCGGAGTTTCGGGTCCGGAGCCAGTGCCCGCCCCGCTCTCCTGTCGGCCGAGGCTGGGACTCCGTGGGGAGCAGCCACGCGGGATCTCTGCTGAGCGGCCGGCCCCGGGCGCGGGCCGCCGCTGGAGCCTGCTCGGGATGCGTTCAGTGAGTCTGGCCTTTGGCTCCTGTTTAAACAGCGATTGTCATGCAATAGAAGCAGCCAGGGTCCTGAACGCCCCTTGGTCGTTCTCACTCCGGCTGCCCGCGTAGGGCGTTTATCTGGACCGGAGCATCGGCAGCTGGGACCTGGCTGGAGTTCGCGAGCTCGTGAATTAGCAGCCTCTTTGGGTTCTGCCAGGCGGTGGAATCCTGAATGGATCTTACAGTTTCTTAAATGAGCATTACGCTTTTTTGCCTCCTCCCTTCCTACCCCTGTTTGTGCCCGGTAATCTTTCTCTTACCTGGGAGAGTACCCTAAACTTAATTTTCCCAATTAAATTGTTAAAAGATGATTGGATTCTCACCGTGTATCAACGCTGTAAGGTTTACAAAAGTAAATGGAACATGGTCCCAGCACATCAGGGACTGTGTCAGTCCCATAATCAAGATTAATATTAGAAATCTTCAAGTTGGGTTTGGAGAACATGGGAGTTTGGCTCTTAGTCTCACGGTTTTAGAGGTGAAAGTCTTTCAAGATTATCTCTCGGAAAACTTCATTTTACAGAGATGAAACTGAGTCCCGGGGAAGTCAAATGGCTCACTCGAGGCCACCCGGAGTTATTCTGTAGTCGTTTTCACACTGTCAAATGGTGGTGTTTTCCTCCATGACCTGCTCCTTTGAGAGGTGTGCCAGACATACCAAAGTTCCAAACCTAGACAGGAATTTTAGACGTGGCGCAGTGGCTCATGACTATAATCCCAGCACTTTGGGAGGCTGAAATGGGCAGATCCCTTGAGCCCGGGAGTTTGAGAGCAGCCTGGGCAACACGGGGAAACCTTCTACAAAGAATATGCATGGTGGTGCGTGCGTGTGGTCCCAGCTACTTGGGAGGCTGAGGCTGGAGGATCGTTTGACCCCAGGAGGTGGAGGCTGCAGTGAGCGGAGACTGTGCCACTGTGCTCCAGCTTGGACGTCGGAGAGAGACCCTGTATCAAAAAAAAGATTGGAATCTTGGAAGTTTCTGAAATAAAATATATCTTGGTAATCTGTCTTTTTTTTTTTTTTTTAACAGCTAGACTTTGGGCGCCTTGAGGATATTCAGTTTGTACGTTTGAATATCCTGTCACCATGTTCAGCATAAAATATCATTCTTGATGATTATCCTCAGCAAGACAGGTAGGCTCATTTGATTTTTTTTTTTCTCACTTTTCAAAAGGGGAGGACAGTCCCAGAGGACTGGCAAGTCCAAGTATGTTTTCAGAGCAATCTTTGTAGGCTGGCACTAGAGAATGTTTATTTATGCACCCCTAAGAGGGGGCTCCTTGAGTGTGAATTGGGTGTAAGCATTTAACCGATGACTTACCGATAGCAGCTGTTTGAGGCTGGAGATTTCAGTGGAGCCTCTTAAGCCAGAATACTTGGCCCCTCTGCCACCTGAAGACAGGTCTCCGAAGCTGTAGTGTACACAGTTAGGAAATAGGAATTGACACGTTTCCTTTGAAGCTAGCTTTTGAGGAGTATTCCATAATTTGAAATACAATAGTATTGGTTTCCACTTTTGTTTCCCCAGAGCTAATATCTTAACATGAGTTCATTTTTATTTGGCTTCTAATAGAAGTTCAAGAGACAATGATCCGAGCACTAATTATATTGGTTATTGGACTAACAGAATCGTAACAGTTCATTGCCGGAAAGGACTCAGGTCAGGTCACGTAATGAATGCAGAGGCCCAGCAATCCCCATGAGGGGACTGGAGTCCGTCTCACACCAGTACTGTTTCTCTCATTGCATTGGGGCTTTGTCCAGTTTTTATTGTCTGATTACCTCCCTCTACCCTTGTGTATTTAAATATCATCTTTTCATTTTTGTGTGCATAGAATTAATGATTTATTGTGGTCTCTGTTGTTAGAATCTGGTATGATGTGTTGGTGCAGACTTATTAATAATTTGTTTCTGTATTGTGGTTATTTATCACATATATTTATGTTTTGCAGGTGTGAGAGGATTGCTATTATATTACAATCATGGTGCAGAAATACCAGTCACCAGTGAGGGTGTACAAATACCCCTTTGAATTAATTATGGCTGTAAGTACTTGACATTTCAGTTTATTCTTTGGCTTCTTATTTTTAAAGAACAGTGTTAGAATTTGATGTTCTATAAATTTAACATTTATGGTTTGTCTCCATGGCGTCACTTTTACTTATTCTGTTTTTATGCTTGTGAGCTGTATCTAGAGTCTGTAAAATGTTTTTAAAGCATAAGCCTCCGAAAATAAAAATCTGCGCATTAAGAAAAATACACCTCAGGGTAATGTGTGAATTGGAGTTAATCCTCCCTTTGAACACATGGGAGTGGGATTCTGACTAAGCATTTCTTCCACGGGATTATGCTCTGTTTTTCCTTTGTTAGAGTAGCAAAGGGACGTGGAGTGTGGTCTCTGCTGCTCATGTGGAAGGAACGCTCTGCTTGTGGGTGACTTCACTTTAGGTACTGTTGGAACTGAGCACCTGGGTTGGAGTTTTACTTACATGATTCAAATGATTCCGTTGAATGAGTTTTTCCCCCAGTATCAAATCCGTCAGTTCAGTTAGAATTTCACACATGGGGTAAAGTCTTAATTTTCTTTGTTATTTACCTGAAGAATTTGGCTGAAAATAAGCATTTTATTAGATGCAAAGCAAACCTTTTCCAGTCATTTTTAAATGACTGTAGGGTATTCCTTCTCATTTGTGTTATTATTAAGATAGACATACCAGAAAATAGAATACAGACAGGAGAATGTGTCTTTCATGAGCGTACGCCTGCTGAAAACAGTTTATCAGACTCGACACACCTGGAATACTGGCATCACAGTCAGGAGCCAGAACATAGGCAGCCCAGGAAGAGGTCCGCCCTCCTTCAATCGAGCCACTGTTTGACTCAGAACACACGGGAACTGTTAACCTGTTTCTGTTCTTTCCTTAAATAGAAATGCAGGTGTTTTAGCAGCTGGCTGCTTCTGCTCAGCGTATGTTTGTGGGATTTATCTCGATCAATAGTTTTGAAAAACAAAAAGTCCTCTTAAGGGAACAATTTACATGCAAGGTTTTTTTTTTTAAATTAATTAATTAATATTTTTTGAGATGGAGTCTCACTCTGACACCCAGACTGGAGTGCAGTGGCGTGATCTCTGCTCACTGCAATTTCACCTCCCGGGTTCAGGCGATTCTCTTACCTCAGCCTCCCAAGTAGCCGGGATCACAGGCTCCTGCCTCCATACCTGGCTAATTTTTGTTTTTTGTTTTTGTTTTAAGTAGAGATGGGGTTTCATCATGTTGGCTAGGATGGTCTTGAACTTCTGTCCTCAGGTGATCCGCCTGCCTTGGCCTCCCAAAGTGCTGGGATTACAGATGTGAGCCACTGCACCTGATCCCATTTTTATAATTGAAATATAATTTACATACAGTGAAATGGTCACATGTCAGGTGTTCAGTTTGATCAGTTTTAATGAAAGAATCCCCCATACCTTTCTCAAAACACAGGACATTTGCATCCATCCCCCAAAGGTCATCTGGTGCGCCTTCTCTGTCAGGTGTGAGGTTTTGGTTTGTGTGTGGGTAAGAAGTTCTGTATTTCTCTTAAATATGTGTAATTAGGTTCATTCCTTGTTATGGTTGTTTAAAAAAAAAGAGAAAAAGAAATATGTGTAACTAGGGCTGTCCGTATTTTGTGTTGTTGACTTACCATGTTTGCCATTTGTATGTTATCTGTGCTATTTTGGCTTTTGGTTGTGTGGGGCAAAGACCTGCTCCAGCCAGCTTGGGAAGGAGTTTTGTGAGTGGGAACATGTATAGTGTGATAGGAATTGCACAGGAATCTGGGAATTTGAGCTGGGGTGGGCTGAACTCCAGAGCCTGGTGGTGAAGTGAGGTTCTGGCTGCTCTGGGGGCCTCAGCCACAGCTTTCTCTAGGATTTTGCCGGGAGGGTCAGTGCCTGGCTCGATGTGCTGGAGCCTTCTCCCCCACACCAGCTGGCTACTTTACTCTCCTGATTCCCTTCCCTGTGACTTCAGCCCGAGGACTTGCGTAGCTGTCCGAAAACCGTCTGGCCCCGGTTCAACTCTGTGGCATTTCTCGTTGCATTCTTTCAGTTTCTTGGTGACCAATTCCTGTCACGTTTCCTTGAGAGAAGCTTGATCTCGTTCATTCCCACCTCACCGCTGCCCTGGCCCTGGGTTGGAGGATATTGGCTAGCCTGTGGATTGTCTGCCCTGGGTGGGAGGCCTGACCCTTGTTGAGTGAGCTGGGCTGGTGGAGCTGGGGAGAAGGTGTCAGGGGTGGTGGGCCTGGGCAGCGCTGGGGAAGCAGAGTGGCTGCCCACGGGGCCCAGGTGGAGACAGGGCAGAGGGTGAGGGGGTGGATGTTTTCCAGAACACTGAGTGTGACTTAAAAAGCTTAATGCAACCCTGATAGTTTGAGGTAAAAGGCTGGTTTCTTTACCAAATGTCAGATTTAATAAAGGGATGTTTGGATTGTTTAACGTTCAGACTTCCTTATTTCCCTTACTTCACTATTTTCAAAATTGTGACGTTTGCCTTGCCAGTTTCTGCAGGACTTTACAGAAGAACTTGAAATTCAAATTCTGAGCTGCCACCAAGTTTTTACAATTAAACCATTTTAAAACTATTGAGGTAGTGGTTAATTTCCCTTCTGTTTCTTTCTCTCTTCTCTTTTTTTTAATTTTCTTTTTTATGATGTAAAACTTACTAGCTAGAAAGTGTTGTTTTTTTGTTTTGTTTTGTTTTTTTTTGCTTCACCAGCTTCAGGATATTTTCTTCTGAATTGTTAGAAAAAAAAAAAAAATAGACACTCAGATGCACACACATACATGTATATTTTGCCACCCTGTAGTATAAAGAAAACATTTTAAAATCTGGAAATGAAATATGTTACCTTTTTCCTTCCAAAGTCAGAGTGACTTTTGTGTGGTGTCCTTTGCTGCCATTTCTTACTGTAATTGTATAGTATAAAATTCTCAATATTTGCTTTATTTTTTCTTATCAAGGAAAACCAGTAGTATAATAAGTTAACCTGAAAATGCCCTTTACAGTTCATCATTCAGAGTGAGGAAAAATGTATGTTTACAGTCAAGGTCAGAATGGAACTGTAGCTGACAAATTTGTGAGCATGTTAGAAAGCAAATGTGCATCAGTGGAACGCAGGATGGGTCAGGAGTGGCCGGCAGGTGCCCGGCACGCAGTCGCGGGAGATGGGTCCGAGTCCTGGTTTCTGTGAGTCCTGTGAAGAGAGAGTGGGAGAAACGCTGCTCTTTCAACTTAATGTCCTTGTTTGTATTGCCAGAAAATTGTTTAGGTAAAAAGTGCCTAGTATAAACAGGTACACAGTTGGGTCAGATATGTTAATTGCATTTCACTTGATTTAATGAAAATTTACCATTTGTTTTGAGGTCAGTACCATTAAAAAACCATGTTGAAGTTCTCATTAACTCACTTGAGTGGTATGTATATAAGCAAAAACGAAGTGGTGGTTTTTCATATTTGTGGCATGTTCTTTTGTCAGCTACCAGCCTAGAAACAGAATGTCAGAGCTTTGAGTTGGAAAAACCACCTAGCTCAACCCTCCCTCGGAGGGCAAGGAACCTGAGACTCGGAGGTGGTGAAACTGACACAGGTAGTGCAGCGATCTGATTCTCGACTTGAGCGTTCTTCCCTCATACCGTGTTTCTTCTCCCACCCAGGGGTGTGCACCTGAAACATTTCATCAAAGAGAAGTACAGAACTTCTTGCCCACACACAAACGAAAGGGTCTTCCCTTCCCCTGACAGGGAAGGTGCACCAGGGAACCTTCTGGGGCAGTGGTTGCAAACGTCCTGTGTTTTGACAAAGATGTGGGGGCCTGATTTTTTTAAATTGAGTTTTAATTTACATATAGTGAAATGGTCAGGTCAGGTGTAGAGTTTGATCCATTTTAACCAAAAAGGCTGTTCTTCCTGGCTTGTGCGGAGAGAAATGGATCAGTAAGGACACTCTGATTGTGCCTTAAATGATTTACAGTTTCCCGGGGGCATAGTGATGAGGTCTCACAGATAAGGAACTTGGAATGGGAGGTATAATTCTAGGGTCCTTGAGTCGAAGTGTTTCTTTTTGAAATTTCTAACGTAAAACACAAGCTTTAAAAGTTAAATATTTTCAAGTGCCGCTCCCTCTCACCCCATGTTAATGGTTCCCTAATAAAGGCTTCAAAGGGAAAATGAAAGAGGTGGGAGGCCCCCTAGTGTAGGGGGCAGCGTGGGAGAGGCCAAGGTCTGGAGCCCAGGGCCCTTAAGGAGAGTTGTGGGAGAGGGAAGAGCTGGAGAGGCCGCCTTCTGGACCCGATTTCTGTGGTGATGGCCGCAGGCCAGACGATGACTTGGACTCCAGTCTTTTCTTCTCCTGAGGACAGCTGCCCTCATTGTGACCGATGGGCACACACGATAGAGGAGGCTCCACTAGCTCCTGTGCACCCCACAAGTGGTCACCTCGTCCAGTGCCGTTTCTGCCTAGGCTTTCCATTTCACAGCAGATGTGGTCACCTCATTCTTTGCTCTCTCCTTTCCTCTCCCTCGTCCCACTTTCACTGTGCTCCAGGAGTGCTCGTGTTCTCTGGGAACCCCTTCAGTGTCTCTGTCCCTTCAGCAAACACACCCTTTAGACTGTGTCCTCAGGAATCAAGGCACATGGTCCTGTCCCTGTCTGTCCCAGCACTGCCCCTCTCTCTGCAGGGAAAGACCGGGGTCCCTTGTTCCTTTGCACACTTAAGTCTTTCATCCTTTAGGCCACTCTGCGTTCCCCTGCCACATACTTTCCATTGTGCCTGTCCTGTGTTGAAGGGTTTACTGTTACCTGTCCTTGCACATCGCAGCTCCTGTGCTTTTTCCGGCAAGGCCCTTTATGGCTGTGTCCTGCCTGGACTGTTTAACCTTACTTCATAATCATGCACACTTCCCAGCCTGAACTTTAATGTTTGTTTCTTTCCTGTTCCCGCTGGCCTGGAACACACTGTGCCATTTCCTGCCCCTCTTTTCTTTTTTCTTTTCATACTTCTT